AGACTACAAAAACAATCTTAAAGGGTTGAAGAAAAAGTGTAAAAACTACCACAGATAGCAGGCTCCAAGGGCCCACAGCCTCAAACAGCTGCTATGAACTGCTTGTGCTTTGTAGCAAGTTTTGTTGTGGGGCTTGTGCTTTAATTAGTTCCTTTATGTGATTCCTTGCAGTATAAAGTGAGCAGAATTGGTTAATCGATGTTTGTTCCCTTGGTGCTTACTTCATTTGTAAGGTTCAGAGGTAAAGTCGTGGGGAAAAAGCATGTTTTGCCCTCCGTGCCATCACTCTCCCAAATGAGGCAGGTCTCCTGAAGCTAGATTGTGAAGCAATAATTTAAAGCCACTGAATGGCTTTGACCCCCCTTCCTCACCCATGCACATTGTCCTCTTGATACAGGCTGGCCAGTGCTCAGTAATCAGCAGCATAGCCCATAGATTCACAAGGCCTGGATTAGCCCCTCTAAATGCTGATAAAATATAAAAATAACAGTGAAAATTAATTTAACATGGTATTGTGGGAGTGCTTTTTCTATCCACTCTCTCTCCTCCCTCTTTTTTTTTTTTTTCTTAAAAACGCTCATGTGCTCCAGAGCATGTGTCTGTGAAAGATCAAATACCATGTTCCAAAATTCCAAGTTACCAACTTATTTTGGACTCTAGTGTACGTAGTCTACATTTCACAGATGGCTGTCCTCTTGCCTGGCAATTTGACTCTTCCAACAACCCTCAAAGAAGTCTTGTCCTATTCACCTCCTCCCAACTTGCAAGTTTTCATCTCCTCTGCTTACCATACAAATAACATCAGCTCTAGTCATCATATGGGCCCCAGGGTCTTCAGCTCTTCTCTGGTTACATGATAGAAGGAGCATGTTGTTTCTTTCCTCTTACTGTTTTTAGCATGGTGGTAAGAACAAGGATATGCAGAGCAGATAAAGAATATGAAGGAGAAAGAAGAATTGCTGGGCTCTTTCTGCATTTTTTGTCCCCCTCCATTGTTGTCTGCAAAAATTATGTTGTTTCTTAGTTTGGTTCAGCCCATTTGGTTTCCTGCTCGTCCCCAAAAACAGGGAGGTAGGAAAAGAAGTTGGTTTTGACTATATCCCAGTCCCCTTGTTTTCAGGATAGTGGTGTTTGGTTGTACCTGTAAAGTAGCTCCAGCCTCAGGCAAGATCACATACTTGTGAATATGCCCCCTGAGTAGGCAGGATGGCAGTACCAGTACTGGTACTGACTTCTTAGCTGATGCTTTGCACCTCTGTCCAGTCCTAATAATGACTTCTGCTTGCACCTTAGTTACATGGAGGAGTTGAGAGAGTAGGGCTTGGAGCAAGCCAAGCTTCGCAGTGATTAAGGACACTGTCCAAGCAGAGACTGTCACTGGTATCTGGTACAGACAATGCCTTGGTCTGGTGAACTCCATTGTTTGCACATGTGGGTGGGAACAGATTTATAAGGGCTTTGTGTGTCCTGTTTCAGTGATGCATTGTTTTTTCTTTTTTATTTATCCAGTTTGTAAAACCAGAGTGGCCCACGGAACAAACTCTCATGAGGTAAGTTAAAAAACATTTGCGGTGTTAACCCTCTGCTGCCAGTACCCCAATGGTGGTTTGGCTGGTGCTTTCTGATCCTCTGTATTAGGCAGAATGAGCACTATGCCCAAGTGACTTCCCTTCCCCCGCCTCTCCCCTATGTTTAATAACACCATATTTTTTCAGATTTATCTGAAATGGAAGTTAAATATGACTTCAACCTCTTGACACAGAAGTTCTCTCTAGCAGTTTCTAGTTTCTGCCATGTAGTTGCTTCTGACAGGTTGTAGTCTCCAGTCAGCTCTGTCTGCAGGGAATCTCCTTCAGCCTCTCCTTTGGTGGGAGGTCACACTAAGTGATGTTTCCATCCCACCATGCTTCTCTTCCAACATGTATGTGGTCCAGGTGAGAAACATTTTTGTGCAGCAGCTGGTTCCTCTCCTTGAGGGGAAGGGAATAGCAAATAGAGACTGTTTCTAGGCATGTTCAGTTGTAATAACATGGTTGGAGCTGTGGGGACTGTTTGGCTTCCCTCCTTCCCGTAAGGCAATTGCAGTTAAAATGGCTGTGTATTCCTGGAAGGAGTGCATTCCCTGTGAGCCTAGCTTCCTCTAAATTTAGGCGAGTTGAGTCCTGTTTTAATTCTTTTCCATTTGTGCTTCCTGCTTACCGCAGCTCAGTTTTGAGAATCCAGCCCTCACTGCTGGCTCTCCTAACGCCTTTGTTAACAATGTGGTCGTCAGTCCAGGTTTCCCAGCTGCTCCTGGAACGTGCAGCGTGTTGCTGCAGCGTCTCTGAGAGCTGACGGCCATGAAGTAAAATGTAAATCTGTATGAGCAGAATGCCTACAGCTGAAATCTTGGATGACCAGCACTTCCTTTTAAAAATCCAAATAGATTTTTCATGCAGGCCTTAGCTTGGATCATTTTACAAGCATGACAGACAGTCCTGTTAGTTTGCCGGAGCAGCTGCTGTAAATTTTTGCTATCGTTCCTGAGAACACTTAGGGACTGGGTTGTGAATTAATTTAAGACTCTGGCTGCCCTGTTGATTTTTCTGCAGAGGGTTCCTCTGCAACTGCAGCCTGAAATGCATGAACCTTTCAGTGCTTGTCCAGTCAGGCTGGGACTTAATTTCCCTGGTGAATCTTTCTGTGCTCTTCTTTCATACAGTGCAGACATACCTCAGCCTCCTGCCAGAATTCCATTTTCTGAGCAAAAATCAGAGTAAAATACAGTTGTAGGCTGCACTTTATCACAGGAACTTATGACTAGAGCCTAGGAGGGCCCCTGGAAAAAAGCCTGAAGTCTTGTGTGGTACTTTACATAGTTAGGAGTAGTAGTCACTTTTGGAGTTGCTGTGTTCTCAGGAGTGATCCAAAAATATTTATGATAAGCGAGGAACTGTCTTGTAATTTCTATTTTATGGTCAAGAGGGAAGCATAGAATAAATACTCTGCTTACAGTGCAGTCTGTCTGAAAGATGGAGCATAGGTCTAGAGCAAGATATTGTCACCTGTTTTATTAATGACTCCTTCTTTGGCTTTTTGTAAATTGCTTCGTTTTCTGTAGAGATATTCCCACGCAGAATATCTCTATAGAGTGCAGAGTTGACACTGGAACTTGAACCCAGCCTGGCCAGAAACCTCACAAGATGACTATTCTGAAAGTTCAAGTACTGGCTAACAGGGACAGCTGAAGGTGCAGGCTTGAGTTTGGGTTTGGTGTCAGCCAAGGCTGGAAGACTCCACATTTTGCTGTGAAAACACAAGCTAGTTAAGTCAAGGTGCTGTTAGTCTTCCAGTAGTGTCCCACAGTTCCACATGGCCTCTGCACTAGAAGTCGTGTCAGCCAGCTCCCACTTTGCCAGCACTGTTTGTTAGACTTGAACAGAGATGATGCCTGAAGGTTGTCCTTCTTGGCTGCCAGCAGGTCAGAACATAACTGACCTTTGGTAAAGATAAAGCTGCCTTTAGACATCACTGAGACCCGTGACCTAAAGAAATGTGTCCAGAATGACTTTTTCTATATGTTGAGCAGACAGGAGTGAAAAGGTAGAGAGAGTCACTGTGGTTTTTGAGACTGAATTCCTTAAGGACATTGTCAGTAGAAATACTTGGTGCCAAATATTTTGTTTTGCCTTCAGAAGAGCTCTGCATTTATAATGAGGAATGCTGTTTGGAAATTATCATGTAAAGTATTGTTCCCATGTTACTGCCAGACACAGCAGGTCTGCGCTAGATAACAAAGAGCAAGCACACCCTGCAAGCAAATTCTTGGAGGTGTATTCATGCACGGTAAAAGCCATGAGATATCACAGTGAAGCAGCATAATGCAACACCATGTGAGTTATATGGGTTCCGTGCTAGTCCATGGGGCTGTTGGCACAGAGCTTTGCAGAAGAGAAGTTTCACATGTTTTTCAGTAGGCTGGGTCAGTTCTGTGCCAAAAAGATAAATTCTTTGGGTTTCCAAGCTTCTAAAATAGGATGGTAAGTCCTCTTATGAAAGAGTAGGTTTTGGGGATTAATTAATAATTTCAGAGAGCACTTGAAGGATAGGAACAGAATAGTTTTTGGCAGTATGATGCTGTAGATATTAGGAAGCCAACAGTCTACACAGGAGGAGGAAGAGAGCAGTGTTTCTTACCACTAGTGAGACAAATGAGGTATGGTGTTTTTGTTGTTGTGAATCATCTTCATGGACAATTCTGCTGGTTAGAGTAGGTTTCTTGCACAGGTTATTACCTCTCACAAATTCAGTCTGTACTGTCAGACAGATAGCGTCTGATACAATAGAGACAGGGTAAGAATATCAGCTGCAAGTAGGCATTGAATGCATGCATTGACTTGAACTCAGAAAATGTTAATCTACTGAGTCATTGTGCATGCGTGCAGGCAATTAAGTGATCTAATGTCTACCAGGTAAGGAGAAATAAGGACAAAAATGTGTTCAGACTTTTAACTATGAATATGTAATCACTACATCATTTACCGTGGTTATGTTTTTGAACAACAAAACCTATTATTTACTATTTTTATTGCAGGAACAAATTAGCAAGAAGTCAGTCTGAAAGTATAGCGCACATCAGATGAGCAGCTGATCATATATAATACAAAGTAGTGAAGTTTCTTTGTAAAATCCTTCCAGTGAGCCTGTCTTCACTAAAATACAGCTAATCTGAGAAAGCACAAAAAGTGACAGGAAGCATATGGAAAGAGAGAACAAGCAGTATAACTCATCTGCACCGTACTGAGACAGAAAGCTCCAATTTTATTCTGGATATCACTGTGGAGTCACTGTGGGACCCACAGGAATTCTCTTAATTTCTGTGGACTGTCTTATATCTCGAGTAAAACACTGGGACCAAGAAGACCAGTGAGAAAATATTCACAGACATAAGAAAAAAATTGTGTTTCAGAGTTTAGGAACTTTTCTGGCAAGTGGTGTGTATCCTGTACTGACTGAGGTGGGCAGCAGGCTCAAGACATGGATGGTTTGCTGTGGTCTTCAACGCTCTTCAGAGGGGGAAGGTGCTCTAACCAAAGCATCCTTACCTGTGGCAGGGAGTTTCGCCCAGAGGACAAGAAGATAAACTGTATGTTGGGTTCTCTGGCTGCAGGCAGTCTGTACTTGTATTGACCTCTCAACATGCCCTTCTGCCACCGTGGACAGCAAGGCCCAGCATCACTGGAGTCATGAAGAGAGGTCAATATTCAGATAACCAGAGCATAGCTTTTTCAGGGCTTTGAGGATGGAGAGCAAGCATAACCTTATCCTCACAGCCGTGTAGAGGCACACTGGTATAAAGTAATTTTGTGAGCCTGTGCCAGAATAGTGCTTGCTGCCAGTTCTGTGTAGGAGCCATGGCAGCATCTGTATTTCAACAACAAACCTGCAAGATGGGGCACTAGGTTGTGATAATTATATATGCATGTAGGCATGGTAATGGAGGGATCGACGCAAAAAGCAGTATAACTTGTGCTGAGGACACACTGGCTCATCAGAGTATTTCTGTGCACCTACCAGCATTTCTTCCGTGCTGTTTGAGGCCCTATAAATGTCTTACTCTTTGGCATATTTGTTCCAGTCCTTTCAAGAGGACTGTGCATTTGAAATAATGGGGTGAAACCAAGCCACTAAAATAATCGGGCTGGCATTTGCTAGCAGTAAGAACTACGAGAGTCTGAAAAAAGTTCTCTGATAATGTGGGTGAAACTCTTGTTGCTTAGGCCATTGCAGCTGGACTGAACCAAACCACAGGAGAATAAAGTTGTGGGGAAGAGCTTGTATAGTTGGTAAACAGAGCTGTTGCTTCTGTTGTTCTTATGATACATGCTTGTATTCAATAGAAACTTTGTTGAGTGTATTGCTCAGTTGTTTTACTCTTTTGTTGTACCTGCAGTTGCAGTAGCTTCCCAACTAAAAGCAGTAAATGAAATTGCAGAGTTGAGAAGAAAATGCTGATTGCAAATGAAAGCTTCAAGGCCAGTAGTGTTTGGAGAGTTGTGTGTTAGTGAAATAAAACATAATGAAATAGGACTAGCTGCTGGGAAGGAATTCACAGTTGGTCAATAAATACCTACCAGTAGATGTTTCCACTGCTAGCCAGGTAGTGGGTAAGCATGAAATTGTTGAAAGACTTGTGCACAACTGTGTGTACGTGTTTCCAGATGGCGATCATCTTCAACCAAGAGGGACTGAAAGCTGTTCGCCCCCCTTGCGTCATTCAGAGCTTCATCAATCACAATGCCGTGCTGTATAAAGTCTTCGTGGTTGGGGAATCCTACACGGTGGTGAAAAGACCATCTTTAAAGAATTTCTCCGCAGGAATCTCGGGTACGTTGTGCTGATTCAAAAGGAAATGACAGTTCTTAGACCCTTGGCAACAAACAACTCGAAAGAAAAAGATCTTTGAAAAGGCTGCTGAAGTGACAGCAGCTGGTTCTTCCATACCATGTTTCCTCTTCTGTAATGTTTCATTAGGAAGGGAGATAACTCATCTGCTCTGGAATATGTATGAATGACAGTCATATAGTAAATATTTATGCAATGGTAACCTGACTCTTACCTGTTAGAAACAGTGTTTTGTGTCATGTGGAAAGGGGGAGAGGGAGAGAAATCCTTTTAATTTCAGAGGAACTTCATGTGTCATTTGTTCCAGAGTTTGTTTATAAATGTGCTTTGGAGAGAATTTCCTGGATTCCGTCATTTCAGAACTTCCTCTCCCTATTTTTACCTTGATTATGTATGTATGTTTAAATTAAAGACCATTTGTGCTCTCCCCTAAACAAGCCTCTCTCTTCATGTGAGGCCCAGTGTTGTAAGCCCTTGTGAGAAATGTCCCTTGGTTTGTAGATACCAGCTGTGTTGGGGGAAGGAGGAGTGGATTTGTCAGTGACGACACTCATCCTCCTACATGTCACTAGACAGCAGCACTTGAAGGGTTTTCACAAAAGATTACTTAAGTTTCCTTCATGGAAAAAAAGCTCCTTTCTAGAGAAGTGCATTCTGTGTCCCATCTGAAACAAAAAGGAATTAGCAGGGCACGGATGGGAGCATGATCTCCCTGCAGCTGGACAAATCCAGGAGGTGGGCATGGGAGGGGAGAAGGTGTCAAACTAAAGCGGGTGAATGAACAAGTGCCAGTTTTTTATCACTTTCCTTAGTGGTTTCTGCTGATCTTAAATGTCTGTGTGTGCTCACCATTGCGTTCTGCACACAATTATGTATTTTGTTAGTATATATATTGTAGGATCCTGGTAAAAGTCCTTGTTTGAAGGTATGTATGCCTGTATTTACATTTGGGTCTGCTCTATGTCCTGATCAAATTAAGTAGGCCAGAATTTGTGTTCGTATAAACTGTTAGGACACTTGGTCTGTACTTTTGCTGGAAGGGAATGTTTTAAGGCATCTTCCTATAAATGTCTTAGCTAATGTCTCTTCTGTTAGTGTAGTGGAAAGTTGTCTGGAAGCCCACATAAAAATAAGGTTTGTGGGCAGATCAGCATAAGTGTCTGGCTTTCTGACCCTCTTCAGTGGAGTTTAAGGGGGCTGTGCTACAGGCACCTGACCAGGCAGATCTGACGATTAGGCAGTTCGGGCAGCTGTGAGGCACTCCGGGAGCTGACTGTCTGAAAGTATGGGACCTTTCTAAATGGGAGGAAAGGCAAGAAAAGCATATGGTAGTGTTAGAGGGCAGAGTGGATTTGGGTTTGCTTTTCACAGCTCCTCTGTCTTTATCAGTGTGGCACTGTGGCTGCTCTTAAGGGTCCACTCAGAGAGATCAGCGTAGCAGAAATACTCTGTTGCTGGTGCCAGCTGCACACTGAGCCTTTGTCCAGGTCTTCCCATGTGGGTTGCCTGTATGATACCATCAGTCTGCTGTGGTGGGAATCCCAAGAGGAGACTTGTGGTGGATTTCTCCCTGCCACTAGAACCTCCAGCACAGGAGTGGGGCAGGAGGTGCTGGTACAATTCTCCCCGTGGTTTCCTTGTTTGTGGCTTCTGTCACCTCAGTGTCTTCTGCATTCCTGTGATGCCTCCAAAGGGAGAGCAGGTCCTGATGATGAAATTTACTGCACCCTATGAAATTTACTGCTTTCCTCCATGGTGACGCTGCCGTCCCCAGGTTCACAGGGATCTTGGTGTACCCTGGGTGCTATCAATCTACTGCCTGCAGTGAATGCAGCTTCTCTTTGCTGTCACATGCCTTCACGTTGGAACTGTCACTTTAAGTACAGCAAATCAGTAGAAATTAACTTCATTATCTTTCTGAACTTGGTAAATTGGCTCTGGCAAAGGCAAGAAAATTGGTTTCTATTAACCTGTGCAGTTTTATGTATTTGTGGTCTGAGGTCCAAAAAGCGTATGTGATCCAGCTGTGGGTCCCTGCCTGTGCAGGCAGCTGAGTGCCAGGCACAAGAGGCCGGTGGGTGGGTGGATGGTGGGGGACTGTCCAGTAGGGATCCAGACTAGATTCCTCAGGCTGCAGTGCCATCTGCTGTTCCTTGCACTAATCCTTTAGAAATTAAAATCCAGTATAAAGTTATTTACAACCTTCTTTTCATTCCAGATAGAGAATCAATATTCTTCAACAGCCACAATGTTTCAAAACCAGAGTCCTCATCTGTCTTAACAGCAGTAAGTACACTTGGTCTTCTTTCTTCTAGCGTGGCTGGAAAACTATCTAGTCCTTTCTTATCAAAGCATTAGTAGCTAGTGACTCTCCTTCACAAGTTGTCTGCTTCTGTGTTGCAGGCTGAGGTCTGTTTGGTGCAACGAACCAGCATGACTGTGTCCCCCTCTGGTTTTCCTTACCGAGCTCCGGTGAGGAAGCACTGATGCAGCAGGGCTGTGCTGCTTGCCAGGCCTAAACTCCCCAGAGCTAATCTAGGCAAAGGGAAGAAAGAGGTTCTGAATGCAAACACCTGGCCTTTCCCTGTCCAGAGAGCTTAATAAGCATAAATCATCCTTCTAGGACTCAGTTCTGTGAGGAAAGACAAACAGTGAAAATTCAAGCAGAGAAATTGTGTTGGGCAGGGCCATGGAGGGCCAGCAGCTATCTGCAGTGCGAGCATGCCCAAGCTGTGACCACAGAACCATTTCTGGGTGTCTTTGGAGTCCAGCAGTGCCAGAGTGCTGCACAGTTTCATGATTGCATTACCAGTCCTTTTAATAAGCTTTGCACGTATAAATCCTAACAAGTTCTCGGGCACTTGACTGCTGAGAAAGTCACTTTACAGGACTGGGTCCTTTCAATCTCTGAGTCTCCAGATTCTTTTCTGTTTCACAAGCTCTATTGGGGAGTAATTTTGTAGTCGGTAATGATTAAATTCTAAGTTGTTTGCAACACTGATAGGCATGCTAAATATTAAAACTGTAATTGTGCTAGGCATAAATCCATTAATGGCTAAATTTTCTTTCAGAGTATATGCTCCTGTGGTTTACCTGCCATCCCTCTCATACGTGTACATATTCCATACAGGTTTCTGTAGGCATGACAGCATACTTCTGCTGTGTAACATGTTGTTTAAAAAGTGAAGAAAATTACATCTTCCAGTCATAAGTAACCTGACTTACTCATTGTAATAAAATGTTTATCGAATATTTTATACATTAAAATCCACATAAAAGGTAGCCCCCTTGAATTAGCCTCTGCCCTGAAGATACCAGCTGAGTTGTATTGTACGGCTCAGATTAAACTAACAGCAGGAGTCTGTTTTATCAGCCCATTAACATAGGCCTCAATCTACGTTGAAATAACAGAATTATATCCATTATATTTGCAGCGCAGGGTTAAACACATCAGCTGTATTTGTTTGCTTAAGGTGTAGATCTAGTACTTAAAATAGTGAGTCTGATTCTCTGTTCATGCCTACACTGCTCTGTCTCTTGAGGAGCTGCACCAGCATGAAGAGGGAGAGCTAGGTGCTTTAGAGCAGATGAACTTCCAGTGTAGGTAGGATTCTGAATTACAAAAGCAGTTTCTCTTTGGTGTCTTTCTCTGTTCCATGCCACCTGTTTTCTGCAATTAGATTTGGTGGATATGCACCTGGAAACCTCTAAAAATTAATCTTTTCGCTAAAAAGACTGTCTCGGAGTCCCTTAGTAATGTGTCTTTTTCCACTATAGCTGGATAAAATCGAAGGAGTATTTGAGCGGCCAAATGACGACGTCATCCGGGAAATCTCTAAGGCACTGCGGCAAGCTCTGGGAGTTTCCCTGTTTGGAATTGATATCATCATAAACAATCAGACTGGGCAGCATGCAGTCATTGATATAAATGCATTCCCAGGTGAGAAATGCCTTTCCCCTAGTGCATTGTGGAAACCGTGCAGCCTGTGCTTAGTGTGAAATTTAACTGCTGGTGTCTCACATTGCTTCCCAGGTGGGGGACAGGAGAGCAGCAGCCAACTTGTTCTAAGATCAGATACTGTTTAATCTGGGAAGCACAGAACCCTTATCTGGATATGGAATGTGCTACTGAAATATTAGCTTTTAGGAGATACGGTCAAATTGTAGTGGCCAGCTGTAACATGGCTGTCATGCCCTTCCCTGCAAAGGAATGCCCAGGAACTGAAGCATGGGATGATGTGCTGGGACCTGGCCTTTCTTGGCCTGTCTCTCATTCTGAAGATGAAAAGAAAAATAATGAATTCTATTCTAGGAGAGCCTTTTAAGATTTCTTTTTTCGAGACTCCGTGCTATTAAAAGGGTTGAGGAGGTGGAAGCAGCAAACTGTTCCCTTGAAAATCTCTTTCTGGGCACAAAAGCAACACCACCAGGAATCTGAAGAAGATGTTAAAATTGTAGGTGCATAGAAGTTGCTGCAAAGGGTTAAATATCCTCATAGGTTCTCATCAGTGGATCCTGAAGTAAAATGCTAGAATAGAGCGTGTGAAAACAGGTAAATTTGTCCTCCTCATTTTTTAGTGCAACGTATGTCTTGGAAACAACTAAACAAGCTCCTTGACCACGGGAATTGTTAAAAGGAGTTGTAAGCATGTGTAATGGGAGAGAATATGGTCTGTCACTTGTACTAAATTCAGTAGCCTAACACAGGAAAAGAATACATCATTTAATTTGATTCTGTTTTGCGTGGGCTTTTTCTCTTTGAGAATCTTCTCTCATTACCTGAGTAGTGATGTTTGTTTCCAGAGACATGCACGGACTGTTACAGTTTGTTTAACCTGTCATTGAAGACTTCAAGTTTTCAATATGGTTGAGGTATCTTCGCATCTAGAGATCTTGCCCTGACCCCTCAGTCTTAATCTTTCAATCCATGTCCTCAATCCCACTGCTGCCCTGTGGAGGCTTGCCTGTCTATCTCCACAGTGACTGGCTTCCTTTTAAAACTCCAGCCCTGCTATTCTCAGGTCACTTTGCAGCTTGGTTCTACCGTATGTTGTTGATGCAATCTGCAGACCTGTGAAAACAGTCTTCTGCCAAGAGGAGTGAAACAACCTAAATTGGCTGTCAGATGGAGCCAAATCAGCTGTGTGAATGGGATTATATTTTAGACACTGGGTCTTGAAGTCAGTGATGCCAGACATTCTTTTGCAATCCTGCATCCTGCGTTTTGGTTTGGTGTTTTGCGGTTTTTATTTTTTCAATTATTGTTTTGGATTTGGTACTTTGCACAGAAATTCGCCTTTTCTTGAAATGTTGAAAAGTCCAGATTGGGGAACAACTAGTGGGAAACTTAACTATTTACAGAGGAGTAATGTCTTCTTGTTGTGATAGAAGTTTGCAGAACTGTCTTCAGCCCCATGCTCTGCTATACTTCTACCCTAAGGCAATAGGTTTTGATACTCAGTCCAAGTCCTGTGTTTCAATCTGCACAGTAATTGGTCTTTGAAGAGACATTGAATTAATGGAGCATTTTAGTCATTGCAAGAGACCTGAGAGGACAGGGAAGCTTCTTGTGCACAGGTCTACATTGTGTCTCATGCAGGATTTTTTTGGTGGTGAACACATGGGTAGTGAAGGTTGCTCCTGGCTTTTTTCACCATGGGATAGGTTGAAGACTTGCTGGAGTAAGTCTAGAGGGCAGTAGCAGGGACCAGACATATGAAAGAGAGAAGGCTGGAGGTAGACAAAACTGCCTTCAAATTTGTAATAAGTAGCAGAACTGAGAGTGATGACCTACTCTCCAGGGCTGCTGAGTTCAGAGAAACAGCAGTGGAGTAAAATACAACAAGAAAAGTTACATCTCAACACAAAGTACTCTGTTGCCCAAAATCATGTTCAGCCCAGGCAGCTGCATTTCCCTCCAAGGGCCGGTATGATTAAAGGATGAGCAGCTTCAAGGACTGACTTGACGGAGCCAGCACCTTGCTAATGAGCAGTTCAGATTCAGCCATGCTCAGAAGAGTCACTGATGGGCTGCATCAGCAGTGGGATCTCACTGTTCCTCTCTCAGTGCAGTCCCAGGAAGGAGCTTCCTCTTCCTTCTCTTCCTCAAGTTATCCTGTCCTACAAGGGTTGCAGTAGAGCCAAACTGAAGCCAAGTTAGACACTTGGGGGACCTGCCACTTTATCTCAGCACCACAGCTTTGGGGAAGGGAGAGGAAGAAGAGCCCTTTAAGGAGAATTCACAACCTCTTTCATGGAGCTCAGTCTACAGCTTGGGGCCAAGCCTGACCAAAGCCTTGTCCAACAGCCCGGATGCTTGGCTTCCTTATCTGCTGTATTTTGTGTTTATCAGACTTGAAGCTTATTTGAGCCTGCCACTCCACGGATGTCATCCTGAGATTAGTTTAACATCAGAATTTAGAGCAGCAGATGTACCTATAGAAGGATGTGTTTGTTATCTGTTCCATTAACACCGGCAACTCTTCAAAAATATTTTAAAGATACATGTCTAAAGGCCTATTGTGTCTCCTGTTCCATGGGAAACCAGCAGGACTATATTTAGCTGTGGTTACCAGCTGAGATATTTAACTGTAGGCACAGTCACATAGCGTGTGGGTTTTATGTTTGCCTGACCTCGGGTACCTGAGAGAAAAGGCTCCGCGCAGCCTGCTGTCCTGTGTGCTCGTTTTGCAGCCTGTCATGAGTACAGGTAAACTGCTGGTTCTATGTGCATGTATCAGGTCTGGAAATGCACTTCGTGTGTGTAAACATGCTGCTGCAAGTACAGAACATAGGCTATCTATCGAGCCAAGGGCTCACCCACCACACTATCCATTTCTCTCTGCCCAAGGGAAGATGCAGAAAAGCAGAGAGTGTGCCAGATCAGGGAGGGTCTCGTAAAAATCAGGCAGGTAGCATCTCAAATGCTAGCTTAAAAATGTTCATAGGCTTTCTTGACTCTGCAAAACTCAAGGGAGCAGGTAATTGTTTTCAGATGCATTGCTGGGTGGACTCTGGAGACTGTTTTCAACATAGCAAAATTCAGGCCTCTTGTAGACAGGCATTTCCAAAATGGTTTCAGTGGGCAAGTGCTAGGATGGTACCTGCCAGAGCATGATTTGTGCAATTTGTCCTTGAAGCATGCAAAACTTCCATCCTCCCACTGATTCCTTGTGTGACATGAACCCCGAATTAATTTCCAATAGTTTCTAAAGGTGTAATTTAATCTGCCCTTCTTGATTTCCTTATCATCACAGCATAGTGATGTCCTACGACTGCCTTTTTTGAGAGGTCTGCCACAGCAGCCAGTAGCAGAGCAAGGCAATATCCACAGTCTGCAGCCTTTCCCAGGCATCCTGTGGCTTAAGGGTTGAGACACTCCTGGTTCTCTTCCCCACTTTGTTGTATTTCTCTTTCACAAGTGTGTGAAGTTTCTTCTGAGTGACCAGGCAGAATTATTTGGGCCTTGCCACCCAGCATGGCAGAGGGCTTGCACAGAAGAAGCCTGCTTTATCTGTACAGCTTCCTTACAATGTAACATCTGCTGATTTCAGGACTGAATAACTGGCCGTCTTATTGCCATTAAATATTTAAAGCAACTTTTTTGTGAGTTTGCCTGGTGCCCCCAGACAAGGCTGGCTTTTTTTTAGTGAGCAGACACAAAACACTCTAGGGTACTCTGGATCTCCTCTTTCAATATTAAAGCTGTTACTATGGAGATGGCTTATTCCCAGGGTGTTTGAAGCACTCTGAGTAGATTTGAAGGCTAATCCCATGGCTTTTACATAAGCAAGAAAGTGTAACAGGCACCTCTGTCAAAGAGGTGGAGATCTTGTTCTGGCTCCCATGACCAGCTGTAAGAGTCCTAGCTGCCCCCTGCCAACCGATGGATTATTGTGGGAGGCACTGGGAAACCTGACGTTTTGAAGTGGCTGATTTGTTTGGTGGATCTGTTTAAGGGCCTTTGAGAACAGAAAACTGGGACCTGTTGTCTCACATTGCTAGTGTTTTGTGTGACCTGTTAAGTACCTGGGAGAATTGTGACCAAGTGCAATAAAATCCAAAGCAATGTAGCAGCGTAAGTAAGGGTTAATTGGTTAATGTACCGGTTATAAGTACAGCAATCACCACGTTTATCTTAAGGTGAGATTATCCTCTTACCTTGCGTTTTTCAGGAAGCTGGGTTTTTATGGCTGAAGAAAGTTGGTCTTTACAGGAGAATGGAGGTTAAAAATGAATTGTTTATGGATCTGAGGGACTCTTCTGCCCTATGATCACATCACTCAAAATGGTTTAAAATGTGTATTTACTTTGTGGTCTCTGGTTCTGCTCCTGTGCTGCTGTGTGAATGTGTGCTTTTCACATGGGACTTTTAAACTGTTATTTATTGCTTCAGTCTCCTGTTTTAATATCAGGTCACCTTCAGAATACTTTTATAGACATTGTAAAACAATCAGCCTAACCCATTAAATACATTTCAAATAACTTATGAAAATTACTTAATTGCCTTTTTTTCTCTCCTTCGTTTTTCCTCTTCTCAGGTTATGAGGGTGTTTCCGAGTTTTTCACAGATCTCCTGAACCACATAGCTGCTGTCTTGCAGGGTCAGGCACCTGAGGTGACCCAGCTAAACCACAGCAAGCTCCTGGCAGAGCAGAGCAGCGGGCTCATGGACGAGCGGATATGCTGCGCTAGCACAGGCTGTCTCAGCGTCATGGGAAAAGACTCCTCCTGGATTGTGGAAAGCGAGACCAACAGCTCAGTAAAACTGCAACACCAGAGACTAGGCTGCAACTCAGCAGTGTCCCCCAACTTCCAGCAGCACTGCGTCGCTACGTTGGCAACAAAAGCTTCTTCTCAATAACTTGCCAATGCCATGGACTGAGAAAAAGCCACAGGGATAGAAATTGTGGTCCCAGAACCAGATCAGGCTATAACAATACAATAATGAAAAATTAAAAATAACAACACAAAACACAACACAAAAAAGCAAAATAAGAAAACCTTCCATTTTATTTAACCTGGTTCGCTGATGAAATGAACTGAAAGGTGGAGGGTGAGAAAATGATTCAGATCCATTTTGTCAGATTCCAGTTGCAAATCTATAGTGAGTTTACACACACGGGTTTTAACACTAGTCCTTTCATTGTGGGAGGGTTGCTCTTTGATTTCTATTGTTCTTTGTAATCACTGGTGACCAGCATTTTAAAATCGGACCTCATGGTATCAAGAAGATAATAATGTTGAAATGCAGTGTCTGAATGTAATAGTGCTAGAGATTTTTGCCTAAAATATTCCGTTCCCTTTTTCCAGGTAGGCTGTTGCAACAGAAAGCTAAGACAACTTCAGTATCACTAAACCAAATCTCTTGAAACATTGACCAGTCAAGATGTTGACAGGTAGCTTGCTTGAAGCCATGGCACTTTGAGTGGGACAGAGCAGATTGTTTGTTCAGGGTGCAAAACCGAGGTGACCACCTCGGTGCCAGCTTTGCAGTCCTTTCCCCAGGCCTCATAGCTTCAGTCAAAAGCAGCTTCTAACCACACTTGCCAGCAGCAGCACAGGTTTGATCCAGACAGGGTGCTGATAGTTAGGTTGAGTGATTTAGCAGGTTAAATAACCTTTCAATCATCTGCTACTGCTGAAATCCTAGAAGAGTTAATGGAAGCAGCTCATCTCTTAGCAGAGAATTTAATTTTCCCTCCATTGCACTTGTCAGGACTCTGGGACAGCTCTGCAAAAAGGCTGTCAAACAGAGCCGTGCATTCTCCTTGAAGCAGTGCACCTGATCTGCGGATCCTAAGTAACACAGTTACCACCTTCAACAGATCCATGCTGCTGTGCATTTTGTTTTTCTTTTGCAAATTAAATATAAGCAGAATTGTGTACCTTTGTAAGAGGTGTAAGTACACAGCAGCTGTAGCTTAGAGACCACGTTATTTTGATGCAAGCTGCCAGATGAGGCCATGTGGTAATTTACAATAGTGCTTTATACTATTCGTAAACTATAGCATAGCCAAATTGTATCTGTTGAGATAGATATACAGTAAACCTACAGTGTTCACCCTCTTATTGCATCTTCTAGCATGTCAGCATCTTCTGCTGATGAGAATTCCTGAAACTTTTGCCAATTCTGAACACTAAACTGGAAGTATCCAAGTCTGTCAGCACTGAGAATGGAGACTATTTCGGAGAGAAAGTGGCCTTCCCTTCCCCATATAAGCCCTAAAATACATATAAGAGGGATGGTGTTAAGAAAATTTCCTTAGTTAAGCTCCTAGCTTGCAGATACGGGAATTTCTGTCTTTCTATAGCAGGTATTTATAAAGCATCCATCACTGCAGCATTTAATACCAGTTTTTTATGTATCATGTGTTAGATACCTACTCAAAAGGAAAGGATCTAGAGCCTAAAGCCCAAGTAGACCACGGAGAGAGGAGTAAACTGTGTGAAAGATGTCACCACCCTGTCTGATGGTGCTAGTCTTGGAGAGGAAAAAGTTTTGAAGAGTGTTGTATAGCAGTTCTTTCATGTAAACAATGTTTTTTCCTTAGGAGAGATTGGGTTTGTTCCCAAAATGCCATTCCTGGGAATTTCCTGTAGCTGGAATTGGATTTTCAAGGATGATTTAAGAAGAGATTATTCTACTTCTAGAGGGGTTACTAACTTTAAATATTTCTGTAGGGACTTTAAGGACCTTAGGAGTGTGGTATCTGTCAAATTCCAGGGTGCACATAAACGCAGCCAACTTCCTAGGCTTCTGCAGATCCGTTCTGAGCTGGGCACGCTTCGCAACCCTTGTGTGCTTTGAGGCTGCTGGATCCCACATTGTCTGCAGCTCACAGTCCTCGGGTGATCGTGGTGTGAGTGAGTCATGTACATAGGTAAGGGTTTATAGAATTCATGATAGACCAAACCTTTCATAAAGCCATGACTGAAAATAAAATTGACATCTACAGTTTGGGGTTTGTTTTTGTTTGTTTAAAATAAAAAGTGTTTTTATGTTACATGTGTAACAAAAGATACCCTCAGGAAGGAACTTGCCAGTGCATATTTTTGTATGGTACTTTCTTGTAACCAGCTGGTGGAGTGTTTGTAGACTTGCCTTTTGCTTCCTTTATTACAATGGCTTGGGGGTTTGGGGTTTTTTGTTTGTTTGTTTGTTTTTGCATTTCGGGGTTTTTTTTATTGGGTGGTGGGCAGAAGCAATGATGTTAAAACTGGGTTAGTAACTCAAGACCTTTCAAATTAAGTATGTTTACGTGAATCTGAGTGGTGGATCCAATGGAAATGTCTGTATGCTGTTTCCTAGTTAGAACATCAAATAAGAATTTTATTTTCCTGGCTGCCTTCTGAATTTTGGTTGGCCTATTTTGCACTGCTTTATTTCTCCAAAATAAACTACTGAAATATAATTGTGCATTTTAAAAGTGTTTACAAATGATTGTTAGAAGTTTATTTTGTAATTCTCTGAAGGCTTGCAGAAATACTATATTTAAATATTACTCCAGACCTTGGCAGTAACTAGAAAACAAGTTTAGGTCATTGGTGTGATCAGTGACATTTTTCCCATAGTCTGTAATTTATTTTTTATTTATCAAATGTGTTGGTATCACTTTAATTTACCAGGTGCAGATATGCAGGTACCTGTTGTGATGTGGCATTACAATAGAGTTTTCACATAAATTACCATGCAATTGCTCTACTACTATATTTCCTTGCAGAAATTATTGTTATGGCTTGTATGCTAGGATGTTGCTAAATCACAGGGGCAAATCGGGAGACGAACTTTTAAAAGCCAAAACTGTAAATCACCAAGTATCCAGACATTCAGTTGCATTACTGCAAAACATTTGAGCATGTGTTTGTTATTAAGCCTGTGCAAAAGTGCTTTTCTGTATTGCTGCCTCATTTGATAAGTTCAGGATAGTTTTGAATTAAGAGAAGCTTCACAGTAAGTTAGTTAATATTCTGTAGTCTTGTCCTTTTTTTTGTAAAAGTAGAAGAGTCTAGTAATATTAGACCATACCAGAATGCCCTTTGCTCTTAAAATTGCAGACAATCTGAGGGAGATTTTCCATAGTGTCTGTTTGAATTCTGCTACTCTGAGTTAGAAAAGGTTCTGCTGTGTTTTCAGAGGCATAGCTATTATTGCTGTGTTGATGGGAGCAATTATATTCAAATTACATGGTCACCAGCTAGCTTTTTAGGGATCTATTTCTGTTTTACTTCACTGTTAAGAAATTCATAAGAACACCATTAGCTTGACTGGAATTTCTCCAGGTTTTGTTGCAACATGATGGAGGAGATGAGACTCTGGTTTCCACTGTAATTATGTAATCAGATACTAGTAGGTGAAGGTTTTTCCTTGTTGAAGAGAACTTGAGTGGTATTATCACTGCCTGCGATGTAAAGCCATCACCATTCTCCTCCCCCTCTAGTTGACTTTGCCATGTTAGGCTTGGGTTTGTAATGACTGTTCCAGAACATCCCCATTGTTATGTGATAGCCACCTGCAGAAACGCAGCCGAAGTAGGAGTGTTGGTGCTGGCACTTGTTTGTGTTAACACAGAACTGCCACTGGGCTGATGCAGTTTTGCCTTTGATTAACCACAGCTCTGGCTATTCAGCCTCAGCGCTGTAGGAGCTGATTGACCAGGCTGGTTCGTAGATAGGATGCACTGTTTTTATTAATACTATGCAGACTTGTTGGAAAGATACAGCTGCTTAAAGATCTCCATCCTCAACATGGGAATGTTTTTGCAAAGCAGGTCCGCAGCAGGTTGCTCAGATGGAAAACCAGCAGTTGAATTTGTTTTCGTCATAGATGAGTACAAATTAAGAACCCAGCCCTGAGGCTTCACAAGGTAACAAGGATTGCTCAAGATAAAGCCTCAAGTTCTCCAGGTTAACTGGCAGGGAACAACCAAGTGGAGTAGGGGGTAGGTGACTGAGGCAGGATGCAGTCCAAAGGCAACGGAATAAATGGGGTCAGAAGCGTTTGAATTGGCTGGCAAAAAGGAGAGAGACGAAGGAAAAATACTTCTGTTGTTTCCATCCAATAAAAAAAAATCCAGGCATATCAGTTCTTAGACCAACACTCGTTTCCCAAAGTCTTTGCGTGGCAGCAGTGACAAGTGAGTCAGGCTTTTTCGCACTAGCTTGCAGCTTTGTCTTCCACAGCTGTGCAGAAAATCTTGGATTTTGTTTTTCTAGAGAATAGAGTCTATTTTGAGTTTGTAGCAGTCTTCCCATGTGCACACTTGCAGGAGTTCACTTATGTTACCCTGCTAATTTTCTTTTCCTCTCTCATTTTTATTAAGAGATGTATTGATTTCTGTATTCAGTATACAGTTACTTTATGGTGTTGCAACTGTGTGTTTTGTAATTAGGAGTATGTGAAAATGCTTTGTGTAGATTAAAATATTTCCTTTAATATAATCTCCTCTCGCTTTCATAGATAAACAGACACACCATTGCAGATCACATTGCTGATTTTATTTGTAATTTTGCTTTAATATCTGTTTCAGAGGAATGTAAACTTTAGAAAGTACTTTCCACATCTTCACTACCTTTCCTTTGCCTGTTCAGTCTGTGTGGATCCAGGCCATCAACACTTGAGCTTTTGACCAGATGGGTTTCAGATCCTCCTTGGATTCTGTCATGTTTACATGGCCACAGAAATTATTAAAGATAGTTGACATTTGAGAGGAGCCAGGTATAAATGGAGATGTTAGAGCGATTCCTCAGCAACACAAGCACAATAGCATCTGTAGCAAGCAAAGGGAATCGTTCGTGCTGTGTGTGTGCAGGTGGCTGTTCAGGTCTGGTCCACCCCTCCTGCTGGGGCAGTTTTCCTGTGGAAGAACAAAATCCACTGTAAGAAAATGTCCTGTATATGGTCCTGTATCTGTGATGCAGAAGGAGGGTGAGGAGAGGTAGGGCTTGGGAGTAAAATCCTGGCCAGTGG